CAACTGACTGGTCATGAGTTCCTAGAAGATTCTATACTGAGAATTCATCTACCAGCTGGCCCAAACTTCTGGGGGCATTCTAAAATCCTAAAACCAAGACCCAGGAACTCAGGAGTCAGTTGCCTCCGAGATATTTTGCAGAACCTGAAACAAAATCAAAGGCTACAGGTTGAAAAGGCACTGGAGATGCTATCACCTGAGCTGAGGACAGTTACCTTGGGAAGATCCCCATTTAGGTAACTCTGTGTCACTCCCACAAAAGTTTTCTTCTTTTGGAGTAATGTTGCTGCAGGTTGCTCAGCTATTAACCATTTGCAATTTGGGATGCCTAAAATCTCAGTAATGGAAGAAGAAACTTTACTTTGGGGCTAAAATTCCAAACAATTTCCAAACAACTTAAAAAAAAAATCAACTAGCCTTAGGGAAGTCGCTGTTTCTTTTAACTGTGAAAAACAAGGGAAATGGACCTTCCTTGGAAAATAATGAGGAGGTTCAGGACTCCCTGTCCTTCCCCTGAAAGCTTAGGTCTCCATCCTGTGGCCCCATCTTCTTAGACTCTGTTGTTCCTTAGATACAAAAGGCTTGCTGGGCCCTCCCACTGGAACTCTGACAGCACTGTAGGCGAGGCTGCTTTAAGTTTGAGCATCTAGGCTTTGGGAAGAGTGCTTGTTAGGAACGAGAAGTCACAGGGAAGTCACATTCAACTCATCACCTGATTCTCAGGACCCCCCCATCCCCCTCAGAGAAACAAGATATTCTGGTTTGGGAGTAAGCAGACCTCTGGAATCTCTCCCACAATGTCCTCCCCCATTCAGCTCTATGCCTCTGTTTCAGTAATCCCACCCATGCACATACAGGAGATATTACTAAGTGGTCTGGAGCTCACAGAATCTTTTATTTACTTACTTTTCAAAGAGTTTTAAAAGACAAAAAGAAAAAAATACAGTTGTCTTGGTTTTCTGTGTTTTCCCAAATGCAAAGGTTTGGTTCTAAGTGAGAGATTATGAAAAATTAAAACTCCAGAAACTCTCAATTTAGAGAGTTAGAAATGTGTCACCACAATCAATATGGTACCACAAGTATATACTGAACATTATCTATGTGCCAAGGGCTACAAATAAAAATCCCATTGAAACAAATTACATTAGATGATAAATATGAAAGTGGCTTGATCTTCGGAGGAGGCACTGAGCCGCCTTGGGCATCAGCACACCTGTTCCGACCCAGGCTGTGCACGCAGGAGCTAGGGCTGTCCCGCCTCCGGGTGGATTTCCATGCTTCCCCTGGGTAAAGGCGCACACTGGCACTCTCCTTGCAAAGGGAATCGGGGGCTTACCCAGGCTGTATGTACATAAACACTAAAAACAGTGAATATTACTATAGGCAAGATCCTTGCCTGAATTAACTTACTTAATCCTTACAACAATCATAAGAGTAGAAGTGGGTTTACTATTTTTATTTCCTATTTTATTATTATTTAGAAGCTAATAAAATGTAATAAGCTTCAGGGCCCCTGCCTCGTACAGTCCCTCTAGTATCAGTAAGTGATACTAGTGCTGTTTGTCAGCTTGTTAGCTATGTCATTTGTTGTGATTAATTCATCATCCTAAATAAATGTTCACTTTAGCACCTAAAAAAAAAAGGGCCTTTTTTGTTCTTACTAATAGAGCAAGAAGAAAAATCGTAACTACACTAGCAAAAAGACCAGAGAAAGCAAGAACGCTACAGTACAGTAACGTCATTATGAACTGGTTCACCTCTTCTTTCAAACAATCTGATAGAAGTATTAGTCATAAAAGTGTTCATACCCTTTGACCTAACAGTCTGACTCCAGGAAATCTATCCTAAGGCAACAACAAAAGTACATAGACTGTGTCAAGATGTTCTTTCCCATCGACATTTTTCTAACAAAATTCGGGGAACAACCTGAAATGTTTAACAATAGGAAATCAATCAGTAGGTTATGGTTCCATAACTCAATTAAAAATTATATGCCCAAATAATAGACATGAATATGAGATATGGGAAAAAGTCATGCTACAATAAACAACTATATAAAAACTAAGCATGATTGATAGATAAACTTTGGAAAAGACCATGACTATGCGATTAATTCTTTAGCGAAGGGTCAGAGATATACAGCTTGGAAAAATATCAAATACACTATCATTAGTCCTTTTATAAGAAAAAGCCTTTGCAGACCAAGACCACACACACACACACACACACACACACACACACACACACACACACACCCCATAAGATGCGAGTGAGCCTCTGGGAACACATTTTCTATAAATAGAACAATTGATGATTAGCAGTACTTTTATCCAAATCAATTTATATGCATAATCTCCACTTCAGAGAGCTCAAATTCAACTCATCAAGTTGTATACATTAAATATGTACAGCTTTTTGTATGTCTGTCTTCCCTCAACAAAGTAGTTAAAAAAGAAGAAAAATCAAATTCATACTTTTCACAACCCTCAAGGAACTAACAGGTGACTAAGAAGAACAGAGGAATTGTTCTTGATGAATATAAACATTAGAATCACTCGTAATCCAGCCATTGTGTCTATCAATATATTTAGGCTTTGGTCCTATTTCAAAGTATTCTCTTTTACTAAAACAAACAAACAAACAAAACAAAATGAAAACCTCTTTACTTTCCTGTTTTTCCATTTAATCCAGAGCATTGCAACCCTGGCCCATAAATCAAATATAAATAAAGAATGAATAGCATCAAAATGCTTTTCATCAAAACAATAAGTTATTGTCACAGGCACTCTAGCCAAATGTATTTTGTTCCTACCATTCTCGCAGAAATGTGCTGACTAGGAAAAAAAGTCTACAAAATAAATGGGCTGACTAGAGAAAAACAAATCCTACAAAAGAAATGTGCCGGCTTGTGAAAAAGATAAGCTCCTACAAAAGAAATATGCCGACTAGGGAAAAACCCCCACAAAACACTAAGGTGCTCTACGGTTTTATATTTTTATGACACTCAATAGAGCCATGCACAGTGGCCCTGTGCTTATCTCTTATCTCTGACATCATCTTTTGGGGAGAGCTGTGGAAGATCTCACATAGGTGGGAGGGCAAATCTTTATGCCTGCTGGGGACCACGGGGCCATGTACTCATGCCTTTTGCAAACTATGAAGCATAATTCCAATTTAAGGCAGGCCTGGAAATAACCCAAATGTCAAACAACTGATGAATGGATAAACAGAATGTGATATGTCCACACAATGGAATATTATTTAGACATAAAAGGGAATGAAGTACTGATACATGCTAAAATGTGGATATACTTTGAAAATATTATGCTAACTAAAAGAAGCCCAACAAAATACCATATATCATATGGTTCCATTTATATGAAATGGCCAGAATTGGCAACTATAGAGATAGTTAGTAGATTAATAGTTGCTTAGGGCTGGAGGAGTGGTAGTTATAGCTAAAGGGAATGAGGTTTCTTTTTGAGGTGATAAAAATGTTCAAAAATCGACTGTGGTGATAGCTGCACAACTCTGTGAAATCAATAAAAAAACAATTGTACACTTTTAACAGATGAACTGTATGGTATGTAAATTAACTATCAATAAAGCTATTTAAATTTTTTTTCCAGGCAGGCAAAAAATATTAAGCAATAAGCTTTGGTGTTGTGTTTAAAATTCATAAAAATCATCAACACTACTTTTATGCCTCCTGTAAAGGAAAACAAATCCTAAATCAGCTTTATTTCTATCAAGACAGATAAAAAAATTAAATACATTGAGCACATGCTCTTTTAAAAAAGTTTAATACGATGATCACTGAATCTTTTACAGCAAATGCAATTTAAAAACATTAAATTTCTAACTAGTTTTGGCCACTTAAGCAATCATTTGAACAAAGTGTCAAAGTATTTGAAAACATCTGAAAGCCAGAGTGTCGCTGCTAATAGCCACAAAGAGAAAATTTTTTATATTCTTAAAGAAAAAGTCACTTGGAGAATAATGGTTTCTCATCCGGAGAAAGCAGGAAAAAGTGTCCACTTTGAAACTTTCCCTTTTTCAATTTCATTCTTTCTAGGAAGCTTTCTATTCCTTAGAAGCTATTTATTATTCTTAAAGGAGAAACTCATATTTCTGATCTGATTCTTCTTTGACTTAAAAAGGCATTTTTCTCAGATATTCTTAAAACTTCACAGGAATGATGCTGGACGCCCCAGATCCTGGGGTGTCTCCTCTTAGACAGGCCTGTTAGCGCCTGACACGGCCGCTTCCATCCCACTCTTTCCGGGAGGGCGGGCTGGCGTCTGTCCCGGTCACTGCCGTAGCCCAGAATCTAGCAGGGCGCATAAGGCACACAGTAGGCACTCCAGATATATTTCTTAAATTGAATTAAATGCTTTGGGGGCTTTGGGCATTAAGTTATTCTCATAGAATATGTTAATCTATGGGCAAAATGCCACCGAAATTAGAATAATCTTATCGAGAGTGGAAGATCAGCACATATCAGATCAGTAGATCAGCAAGTGTGACATAATATTTTCCTCTCCCCGTGCTCGAGCTACCGAGGGAACAGAGACATAGACTTCTGAGACACATCTGCCCGCATTCTCAGTAAGTTCCTAAAGCGGTGGCTAAAACCAGTCAGGCATGAAACAATGAAACAGGGAGCAGGTTTCAACGTAGCGGAGAGAAGAGCGGATTCAGAAGAACTGAGTGGACTCAGGGCTCTCCCGTGCAAGGCCACGTCCAGGAGCACGGTGAGGCACAAAACAGCCCCCCAGACAGGGTGCTGTGGACATCAAATGAGGAGGGGCACCCGTGTATGTGCCACCACCCCTTCCAGGGAGAGGAACTGCGAGGCAGGAGGACCGGCCAGGTTAGGGGGAGACGGGGGAGAGGAAGGGGGAGCACTCGGAGGCTGCTGCAAGGGAAGCAGGAGAGGTGGAAGGGGCAAGGCCAGTGACACCCGATGTCGCGTAAAACAAACGACCTGAGAAACTTACTTAATATCGAGTTTTCCGTTTTGAAAACAGTTCTTCTTATTCCCAGCCTCATTGTTCCTCCCAAATTGCCAGGGTTGTGTTCCGGCATATCAATCACCTTAGAAAAAAACACAAAACAAGTCTGGTTTTGTCACCTTGTAAAAATGTAATTTCCCAAACTTCAAGCTTTACCTCTAGAGGAATGATCACTGGGTAGGGATCTTCCCTAAACAATAAAATCTGATATGCTTTCCAATTTTCTCATTCAAATACAGCCATACTTTATACAGGCCTCAACGTACGTTTCCTTTCTGCGTCTGCTTCCCGTCTTTCATTCCAATCACTTGTAAAAAATCCATAAGGTGAATCTTTGTGACCTTCCTCCCATCATTACTCAACCTGTCTGTTCTGGGCAATGTTCACACTTCAAGTTCTGGATGTCTGGGGCCTTCTACTTTGGTATTCACGTCCCTCCCATAATAACCTCCCTCTCCCCCTGCCCACTGCATTCCCTAAAGATTTTCCATAAGCAGATCTGTCAATCTGTGGAAACGTATACCAAAAGTACGTATTTGTAGAAAACCATTAGGAGAGAAAGAAAAAAAAAAAGGAATGTCATCCGTTCTGGCACACATTATAGGTCAGCCATCTAAGCGCCACCCTGGATGTCCCCCTCTTCCACATCCCTCATATCTAATGTGTCAAATCCTATCCATTTCCCCCCCAGGCTTCCTGAATTCATTCACAGCGACGACCACCCAAACCGCAGCCCCTCGCCCAAGCCACAGCCAGAGCTTGCTGGCTGGCTGCCGCACATTCGCAGGGCCCTAGTCCCCTTGCGTGCCACAGGCAGAGGAGTTGTGGCATTTCTCCTGCCTTAAGTCCCTGACTGCATGGCATCAGGCCAGCCCAGCCCTCCAGCCTCACCTCCCATGGCTTTCCCCTCACACTCAGCTCTGGCCACCGCGGCCTTCTTTCAGTGCCTCCTTCCATGGGAGCCTAGCACATGCTGTTTCCTCTTTCCAGAACATCTTCTCCCCTTCTCCCCCCTCTTTTCCTAAATCACACCATCCTCAACCTTGAGATGTTAGCTCAGCTCTCCAAGATGAGCTTCTACAGGCAGTGACATTCCCGGGCGCCACAGTGCAGCCAGGGTCCTCCCTGGAGGCCCGCCCTGTCACCGCACGTCCCTCAGCTGGGCTCTGCAGAGTGCCTGGTGCTGGCCTGGAAATCTCTGAGAGCTGGGCATGCTGCCTTCCTTACCATTCCTAGGCCCTCGCATATATGGGGCTGCTATACGGTATGCGCTGAATAAATGCCCGAATGAACGAACAAACTCAGACTAAATCATTTCAGACTTATATTTACAATTACTTCACAGAAATTCAGAAACGTGATTCCTATGAAAAGCCTGTTCTCATTAGTCATTGCCGTTTTCTCAGTTCTTTTCACTACGATCTCATGGTTTTGTTTTTCTTTTTTTTTCTTTTTTAAGTTGTCAGAGCAGATTATAGTTGGGTGAGTTAACTTGGTCTAATGGAATGGTTCAGGCTTCCCTCTCATAAAAACCTTTCTTTCTGGTTTATTCTCCCCCATACCCTAACTGCCACATATTGCTTTATAGGAAGCCTTGGCAACTGGAATTTCCTGAGATAAAAATTTTCCAAGAACTTGTCTGATCTTATCAATGCCCCAGAAGAATTTTCCGAGCCCTGGGTCCCAAGTATGCTCTAAAAGTCACGGAGGAGAAGGGGTGGAGAAAAAACTTGATTACACCGCTTGTTGAATGGAGTGCTCAGCTCTGAAGTGCTCTTGGCCTTGGCATCTCTTTCCTATCGTCTCTGGTTGATTAATTATGCCTAGATTAAGCATTACTGAAGTGAGGTGACAGAGGGCATTAGCTTCCAGTTTGCAAGTGCCCAGCCCCTTATGCATTTTCTAGAAAAGGGCAGATAAGACTGCCACACACTTGTAAGAAGTCCTAAGTTTATTCACAGCCTCAATTTCCACTTACGTTTGAAACAACTTGCATGATCTTGGAAGACCACAGTGATAAGCTCTCCCTCGCTTCTTCTTATAAGTGTACTGTGATTTTTCTGTCCACTTTTACTTACTGTGTTGAGTCCATCTACCCAGGAAGAGTCTCTTAATGTAGTTTGTTCACTCATTGGCATATTTAGTATTCAAGAAATGTTCTAATATGAACCATTGAGAATAGAACCGAATGACTTGGGAAGCCTGACTTACTGCTTAATTGGGATGAACTTGCCAAACACCTCAAGACCAGAAAACATTTCCTAAGTTAAAGTGGGCAAGGGGAGAGAAAGAAAATGCAGTGGACACAGGGGCTGTCCAAGGGCACTGAATATTCCCGCAACATAGGGGAAAGTCTGGAAATTCCTGACAGAGCAATATGAGAATATTATTTAGAAACATTAAGGTAAATATCCGAAGAAACAGCTGGGAAAGTTGAGGGTGGTAGAGAGGAGGTTAGGATTACTGAATTTTTCATTAAAGGCCTTTTGGAACTGTTGGCTTTTAATGAAAATATAGATTTAAGGCCCAAATAGTGAAATGCATTATTTAGGCCTTCCACTAGGGTATTAGTTCACATTATCCCTGCTGTTTTCAGAAGCAAGAAATACAGCTTTCTCCTGAAATGATAGCACAGAAAGAAATGCTAAGGTGTAACAGCCATGGGGATCCTTCAATTAAAACATACTAGCATAGAAACCAGTGGAGAAGACAAAGAAAATGTTAGAGAAAAAAATGGGGAAGCAGATGGAAGTAGCATTCCAACTCTAATGATGCCCTGAACGTCAGTGAAAGGAGAAAAGCAGAGCGAGAACTGACAGGAGAGTTGCCACACTCTTTGGCCTGGCTTAGGAGGCCTCATCCAGGGATGCCCATCACATAGGCAGTCAAAGAACATCCAGGCCAGGCACAAGCTGGTGGAATCCAAACACTCAGGGAGTGGAAGGTTCGAGAAGATAGAGAAAACTGTGCATTTCTGGCAAGCCTGGCCAAACCAGCTGCCTTATAGAATTAGCAGACAATCCTACAAGCTCTAAAGATGACAATATGATGGCCTCATGGGTTATAAGCAACCTGACTGAACAACAGAATTAAGGAAAACATCTTTGTTCCTCACATTCCTTCCACAAAAAGCCTCTGAGACAGGAGAATATCACAGTTTCAAAACAAATCTTTATCATTACCTGGGTGGTGAAAGAAAAGAACCTCAAATATGCTTTAGTTTTAATCCCAGCATTTCCATAATTCCCTAGATCTTGCATGTAAGGAAAAAATGCCTCTTCCATTGCAAAAAGATCACCTCAGCCTGCCTAAATAAACACTGGCTGTCGTCTGATCCCCACTACAGCTCTGTCCTTTCTTGGAACTGAGCTATATATCATAAGAAAAAAATAAAAGAAGATCAATAAGTAACGAATATTGGCGGTGATAACGCTTTAAGAGATGTAAAAGTACCACATAAGGACAAATATGCACTAATTAACCTTTACCAAAGTTTCTGCAGCCCATAATAAAAGTGTAATGGGTTCAAGACTTCATGAGTCCTGGGCACCTTAGACAACAAAGTCTAGGGAAGTTAGATTCTCTTATCAAAGATGAAATTCCTAAGTGGCAGTGAGTTAAGGAGCATAAGCCTCTGACAGGGCCCTGGTAAGTCTGGCTTACCTCATGTCCCTTGACTTTGTAGATCTCATTTGGGGGCACTAGGGGAGCTCCCCCCCAGACCATTTCCAGTCAGACAACACACACAGTGATTCTCTCAAACTTTCCGGTATATTCCTTTACAAAGATTCACCAAACCTTTCTTACTGTCCATTAGCTTTTTCCGCTCATTTTTTAAGCCTGCTTCTAATTTTGATTCTCTGAGTCATAGTCAAGTTGAGCATAAAGTGTAAACGAATTTTATATCAATATTATGTTAAGTAATACTGTGTCGCACTGCTAGCTACAGCAGCCTCCCATGGCTGTGAATCAAATCTAAACGCTTCCAGTGGCACTCAGGTTCCACCTCACTGAGGAACCGTCTAGCTATGCTCTCCCTACACATTCTTTTTATTTTTTTCAATTACAGTTTACATTCAATATTATTTTGTATTAGCTTCAGGTATAGAGCATAGTGGTTAGAAAATCATATACTTTATAAACTGTTCCCCTTGATATTTCCAGTACCCACCTGGCACTACCCACATATTCTAACCTACGGTTTCTACCCCAGTCAAACAAGGCCATTGCCGGTGGCTCCTCTGCCCTCCTCCCCACAACTCCACTACGTACATATGGCCTCTCCACTACTTTTCCTAAGATGCCTTCTCCCTGCCGTTCCACAAGAGCTCATGTATAGGGGCACCCTCTCGTTCTTATTGCCCCATAATTAATACCATTGTTATGCTCACCCTACCAAATAAATAACCTATAGGCTGTTCATTTATTTGCAGTTAGTCCTTCTGGTGGGCTGAATAATGGGCCCCCAAAGATGTCCAAGTCCGAGTCCCCAGGACCTGTGAATATGATACCTTATATGGCAAAAGGGATTTTGCATATATGATTAAATTAAGGCTCTTGAGATGGGAAGGATTACCCTGGGTTATCTGGATGTGTTCAATGTCACCACAGGGTCTTTATAGGAGGGGGGCAGGAGTCAGAGATGAGCATGTGACAATGAAGCAGAGGGGCGTGTGTGTGTGTCTGTGTGTGTCTGTGTGTGTGTGTGTGAGAGAGAGAGAGAGAGAGAAAGAGAGAGAGAGAGAGAGAGAGAGAGGGAAATTGGAAAAGGCACCTTGGTGGCTTTGAAGGTGGAGGAGGGGGGCGTGAGCCAAAGAACGCAGGAAGCCTCTAGAAGCTGGCAAAGGCAAAGAAACAGGTTCTCCCCTGGAGCCTCCAGAAGGAACGCAGCCCTGTCGACCCACTTTGTATTTCTGAGCTCTAGGACTATAAGAAAATGTGCGTTGTTTTAAGCCACTAATTTTGTGGTAATTTCTTACAGCAGCGATGGGAAATGGATTGAGTCCTTTATATACAACTTGAATCTCCCCCATCCTTTCAGCTATGAGCCTCCTCTCATAAACTAAAGTGGGGCCCATCTCC